TCTCTTATGTTCTTATGTTCTTAGTAATGTATGGCTGTGAGAGTTGGACTATAAGGAAGGCCAAGCACCGAAGAATAGATTCTTTTGAACTATGGTGCTGGAGAAGACCCTTGAGAGTCCCTTGGACTGCAAGAAGATCAAATCAGTCAATCCTAAAAGAAATCAACCCTGACTGTTCCTTGGAAAGCTGAAGCTCAAATACTTTGGCCACCAAATGAGAAGGGAGCACTCACTGGAGAAGACCCTGATGCTGGGAAAGATAGAAGGTCAAAGAAGAAGGGGAGAGCAAAGGATGAGATGGTTAGACAATATCACCGATGCTACCAACATGAAATTGAGCAAACTTCAGAGGATGGCAGAAGACAGGAGGGCCTGGCGGGATCTTGTCCATGGGGTTGCGAAGAGTCGGACTCGACTGTGCGACTGAACAACAACAGCCACTAAACCACCTCTTTTTTCATCCTTTAATACTTTAACTGAATAATCATCATTGTACCTTTATTGGCATCGTAAAAGGGAAACATTAAACGAATACAGAAATATTACAAGTTAAAATATCCTAAAGTTACAGTATATTGCTTCGTATAAAAACGGCAACATGTAAATTTTTTGCCACACCACTAAACCACCTCTTTTTTCATCCTTTAATACTTTAACTGAATAATCATCATTGTACCTTTATTGGCATCGTAAAAGGGAAACATTAAACGAATACAGAAATATTACAAGTTAAAATATCCTAAAGTTACAGTATATTGCTTCGTATAAAAACGGCAACATGTAAAATTTTTGCCACTGACTCAGTTATATTGTCACCAGTGTTGTTAAATAAAAACAACAGTTTATATACATCAGGAAAACCCATAATGCTGGATAAGATTGAAGATAAAATACTTTGTATGGTATTGTCATAATAAGGACATTCTGACAACACATGGGACACTATTTCAATAGTTCCATTTAAACAGGGGCAATGTATTAATAAGTGGTATACCGTATTATTCGCTCCGTAAGTGGGAGGGAAAGTGTGTGCGTCTTATGGAGCGAATACTGAAAAAAAGAGTTCATGGGAAGGCTGATCTAAGCCCCGTTCAGCCTTGCCAGCGGCTCCTGTGGGCTTGGGAGGGGGCGAGAAGGTTGAACGGGGCTTGCAAGGCACACCAAAGCTCATACATTGAATAAACTTTTGTTGGACTTAAAGGTGCCATTGGACTCTGAATAAGAATATAGTTATAGTGGGCATTTCAGGAAACTGGTATGACAAAGCAAATCAGCTGTTCATGTAGAGAATTTTATACATAGCAAGGATTTATTTTTAAAACTGAGACCATCTTTAAGCAAAAACATCATTTAGGATCCTACTAAAAAAGGTACAGAAAGGTGTTTTTTTTTAATAAAACAAGGAGATGTGGCTGCTAGAATGGAGATTGCTGTAATTAATCTAGCTCTGTATTATAAGAAGGTCATAGGGATAGAGGAAGATCTGGAAAACATTTGGAAAGCCAGATTTCATTATTGTCATTATCATGTAAATTGTCCTTTAAACTATTCATAATAAAACTTGCTTATTATTTTCTGGAACTATGTGGTTGGCATACTAAAATTTACTATGCACGATTAAAGTTCGCTGCCCGTGGATGGAAGGCCCAGGGTATGGAATTAGATGTCCAATGGAGACAGATGGGTTGCATCTGTTGAGTACTACAATATCATTGGGGCCAAAATAGCAATTATTCACAACTTAATTGACTTGTCCACACAGGAAAATTAATTAGCAAATGATTGCTGAAGCACAGGAGTTAGCAACCTTTTATCATTAAAGGGCCAAGCTATTTCAACATTCAGAGGGAGATGTAAGAAAAGCACCAGTAGAAGAAAGGCTATTTGGATAATGGAAACTATGCAACTTCACATTATCCTGCCACCTTGGTTATTGTAACATGTTGATCAAAGTTTCTGCAGCCCAAACAATGATTCTTGCAGCACACACAAGTAAATTACATATACAGAGGAACACTTTGTGAGACTGTTTTAATGCACTGGCATAAATCAGTCCAATACTGGCAATTGTTCACCTCTATACTTTGCTTTTCTGTAAAGAATTTTTAAGGTCCCTTTCATATGGGGTCTTTAACTTCCATTGGCTTCTGAAAACAAAGACTTTTTAAAAAAAGTTTCCCCACACCATAAGGATAAAACACAACAAAAATTGTAGCAAAACAAGATTTTGGAAAGTTTGGATTAAATCTTCATTTACTGCAGCAGGACGGCGTTTTATTCTTCAGGTGCGTGAAACCTTTGCCTTCAAAAGCCAAAATGGATTTGAGCCTGTACCCCCCCCCCAGCCCTTTAGTCCCATAAAAAGCTTTGCCTGCTATTCACTTCATGGATGGGATAAGAAAGACTAGGTGGTTCCAGTGAAGTGTTGAAAATGGACATTTAGGGTCCTTTCTGGAGTTTAACCTCTGAAAACACATTTTAAAATACACAGATTACAAAACTCCATGCTACAATATTAAAAGGTCTCTCTAAATGAATCCCACTCTCAGACTAAAGGTTGCTTCAATTTGCTTCAGCTTTTTCAAAGGCCCTGTGCTGTGCTCAGTGATGGCAATAGGTGTCATCATTTCCTTAACTTCCCTGAATGTTTCATTTGAAGTGAGTTTTGTATCTGCAGCCTTTTTACTTCATGTTTCAGCAGACCCTGTTAATGATTGAAAACTGGAATATGCACATTGGTTGCACGACTGAGCCTTATCTTAATAGAGATAAAGCTCTAATACAAAGAGCAGGGTGGAGAAAACAAAAATGTCATGAGATGTTTTTCTTTAGGGCCTTTCAATGAATTGTGAAGTGAAACCAAAAGGATAATCTGATTGTACATATGAGGAGTTATTTTCAGATGCTAAAGAGGGAAAAGGAGAAATGCTCTTCTTTAAAAGAATCACTGAGACTTCTCAAGACACTTTCAAGCTATGATCTTCAGATAATAGGTAAGATAACACCCAATCCATGGGTGGGACAGGCTATTCCTCTCTGATAAAAGGTACAGGTCATTGTATTTTTTTCTCTCCTGGGGTGGGGGAAAACAGAGAAAATGACTTTGAACAGAGAAATTAGTGGGAAGGAAAATATTCAACACCCCCATTTTTCTTGTCTTTTGTCCAAGGCGCAACCATCCACAGCTTCTGCACCTGATAAAAGAAAGCCCTTTAGGAAATGGATGTTAACTCTTCAATATTAAATCCTGACTTGAGTACAAGTTAATAAATAACAAAATCCAAGCGTAGCGATGAAGTACGATAGTCTAAAGACCACTTCTTTTACATTTCTCCTTTGCCTTAACTCTCCAGTCTCGCAAGTATGGATATGACCTATTTGATAGAAAGTTAAGGGAATCCCTCAGTGCTGGAAAAGACATTTAGAGTGATTGTATTATATATTACAAGAAAGGGGACCCGCGGAAATCACGGGGGTGGGAGAAGGGGCGGCTCGAGAGCGGATCGTCTTTCTTGGTGACTTACTCGAGAGGAGACCTTCCCAGGATTCGGCTGCCGGACTCTTTGCCGCCGTGCCCCATCCGAAGCCCCCTCCCCTCTCCCCATTCAGAAGCAAGCAGTTCCAGTCCCGCCGCAAAGAAGCACTCCCATAAATCCCCGTCGTCGGCCTCCCCCCCCCCTTCCCTGCCGGCGGACGGAGACCCAGCGGCCGAGCGCGGCCCAGCCCTCCTCTTCCTCCTCCCTCCATCAGCATCGCCCCCACCACCTCGGCCTAGTCAGGGGCAGTGCCGCCTCTTTTTCCGGGGGAACTGAATGCGCGCTCGCCGCCTCAGCCCCCCCTACCATTCCCGCCCGCCGGCCGTATCAGGAGGCTGATGAAGGGCTGGGGATGCCTCGGCCCGGGCGGGGGAGGCGACGCCGTCAGAGGAGAGGAAGCCGGCGTTGAGTAGGCTGATGAAGGGCCGGGGACGCTGCTCGGCCGCTGGCATAGGCTAGCCTGATCTCATCAGATCTTGGAAGCTAGGCAGTGTTGGACCTGGTTAGTATTTGGATGAGAGACCACCAAGGAATTCCAGAGTCACTATTCCCTACGGAGTCACCATAAGTTGGGTGTGATTTGGCAGCACTTTACACACACACGGTATCCAAAGCTGGCCTCATTGTAGACAAGGGAGCCAGTCCTTGGCTATTAGGTGCAGTGACAACACAGTGAATGCTTCTCTCTTTCAGGTTCAAGGGAGAGAATGCTAAATGGATAGCCTTCAGAAATGCTTTTGGATGACATTGAGCCTCTTGGGTTTTTTAACAGGTATGTTCCTCTTTAGATTGACAAAAGAAAAGTTGAAGCCTTTCATTAAAATCAACTGCTTGTCATGTTTTTAAAGCTATTACTCCATTGAACATTGAATGGTCAGAATGAAATTTGGTTAATGTGTTCAGGGCACAATTCTGTGTTTCCTCTTGAAAGCCAGTTCATCATCACTCCCTCCAGTCATTTCCGAAGGAAGTAGGAAACAGCAAAACAAAATAAAATTGTGCTGCCTCCTTTGAACAATGAGGGCCAAACTATACCTCACAAGGGAAATCTGTGATCAGATCACTGTATTGTTTTTTTAAGGCAGGGATCCCCAACCTTTTTGAGCCTGCAAACACATTTGGAATTCTGATACGGCATGGTGTCACAAAATGGTCAGTCAGAAAATAGTCAAGCAAAAGCCCTGTTGGCCCTACCAAATTCCTAAAAACACTTGGTGGGCACCAGAAAAGGTATCAGCAGGGACCCATGTTTTAAAGCTTCAAAACAGTTGTGGGGGAGGGGGTAGGGAGGGAAAGTTTGGATCAAAAGTTCGAGGGGTATACCACTTTCCCCCCAATACCTCACACTTCCTTGAAATCATCCTCCCTCCAAAGCTGCTATACACCATAGTGAAGAAAGGACTATTTGGTTCCCATATGGTTATCTATCTTTCCCCTTCATGGTTAATAGCAACTTTGGAAGGAAACTTTTAGCAGGGGAAATGCCAGGAGGGAAGGTTAAACTCTCATTCCCAGAACTGTGAACTCCCTCCAGTTCTTCCTGTTTTCCTAAGGCTGCTTAGCCTTTTAAAGAAGACAGCTGATTCATGATTAGATGTACTGCAGAATGTGTTGTTTGCCTCTGAGACAGCAAATGGAAGTTGGTAGTAGAACAATTTTCTGTATTTCAATGAGAAACCCCAATTCAGCCCCATATTTTACAGCTTCAGCAGGGCAAGAAGCTGTAAAACAAAACATAGTACTACTTCTTCCTTGAAAACTGAGACACTGCAATGAAATTCAGTGTTTAAATTCAGGAAATTTAGGTTGTGGTCTGTGGCGAACTGCACTTTTTAAAAGCTTAGAAGTAATGTACAAACAGCTGAAGGACTGTGAAGGGTTAATTCTTGGGACTTCCGGCTGATGGCGGCACACTAGCAGACTCACCTCCTGGACCTCCCGGGGGTGAAGCTGCGCTGCAGCCGAAGGAGGGGGTGCGCAGGTTCGTCACCCCCCCAGAGACCCGGCTGAAGGGGCTCTGGCTATGGGACTCCCGACAGGTTGCCTCTTCACCGGCGCGATGCCGGGGAATTGAGGCGCCTCTCCGTCCCTATGGTTCTTTGAGCTGTGAGGCCAAATGGAACTAAGTGACGCCGACCGGGGCAAGTGCAGGAGGTCGAGCGACAGAAACGGAGCTTAAACGAGGTCTGATGACCAATTATGAACGTGAGTCCAATTAAAGCATACTAGTTAAAATGACCATGGAACAGAAAGTGAGGCGAGCGGGGGAGGGACGCCTCCCATGCGCATGAACTTTTAAGCGAATCGGAGGGGGGGAGCGGAAGAGAAAGCGAACAAAACTGTTGAGAAAGACTTACCAAGGCGAGCTTGAGCGTATAAGCACATATTCAGAGACTTTTAAAATACTGCCTAAAGTAAACAATCTATAAAGATGGCGGGGAAGAAGACGGAGAAAGAGAAATTTCTAAAAATGAAAGGAACTGAAAGCCCAAGACCGGAAGGAACCAACGAGCTGGCAAAGACATTGGTGGAATCCATGCGCCCCCTACTGGATGAGATGAAAAATCTCAAGGAGCAGCTGTCAACAATGAATCAATTTATCACCACTCAGCAAAAACAGTTGAACGAGACTCTTAAAATGATGAATCAAACAGCTGAGAAGGTGAAAGAAGTGGACGCCACTGCCCAAAGGGTGAAGAAGAAAGTACAAAAACTGGAAAAGAAGCAAATCTCCGCGGAAGATCAGCTGTTACAACTACAAATGGAAAAAGCTAATATGATTCTTCGCTTCCAGGGCATTCCAGAGACTAAGGGAGAGAATCTGAAGGAACTGATGAGTGAAATTCTGGCCCCAGTGACAGAGACGAAGGCGGAATCTTTGCTGCGCGATATGGATGTGGCCTATAGGTCCTATTCAGGATATATAAAGAAAAATAATCTGCCTGGGGAAATAGTGATAAGATTCTCGAAGAGGCATGTGAGGGATGCAATCCTGAAAGCGGCATCTGGAGCACCCTTGAAAGTTGGAGATAATACTATCAGAATTTTAAAAGACATTCCATTTGAAATAAGACAAAGGAGAAAGAAGTACAAAGATTTAATTCTTTTTCTCCAGACATATGCAATTGGATACAGATGGCTAACTCCAGAAGGCATAACCTTCAAAATTAAGGACAAAAAGGAAAAGATTGACTCTGTTCAGAAAGCATGGGGATTTTTAAGAGTCCAGCTGGGAGAGCCAGAGGAGGAAGAGAAAGAAAGGATGGACAGCAAGTCCAGTGGCGAGCTGGACTCGGGGTCTTCCGGAGAGGACTCTCTATCAGAGAAAGGGGAAGCTGTCCCTAAAAGTCCTTATAAATTGCGTAAGAGACTGGGCAAGGGAAAATGAAGGCTGAAGGACTCTGAATTGTGCCTTTGAAAATATTGACACTAGGTGCTTAGGGGTCTTTCTTGTTAACTTTCTTGTTTATGATTTGAAAAAGATAATACTATACTTGACTCAGTTCATAATGGGACTAGCGTGATTGAGAGATAACGTATGTTAAGCTAATTTGATGATCGCCTCTCTTTGGTTTTTACGTAGTAGTGGGTATCTTTTCTTTATCCCTAAATGTAGTCCCTTTCCTTATTTCTGTTGTAGTTTGTAGTCTTAATAAAAATGCAATAAAAAATCCCCTCCGGAGGGCAAAAAAAGGGTTAATTCTTCACAGAAACAGAGAGCCTTGAGTGACAGGCTGCTCCAAACAATCTGATTGGAGCAAAGAGAGACTTTAGAGCTGCATGCTGAGCAGAGATTTAGTCAGATTTCTGCCTTGACTGAGTTGAGTACTGACAGTCTGATTTCAGCCTTAGCTGAGAGAAGTTCGACACAGACAGAAGAACTGGGAGAAAGTTGGCAAGGAAGTTTGGGAAGTCGGCAAAGACTCCCATTTGGGCCAAGGAAAGGGGATAGATCTTCTAGAGAGAGAATAAAATTCCCTACCCAGTCAACCAAGGAGTTTGCTTTGAAGAGTGCAGAGATCCCTGGTTTGGTGTGGTTAGAAACTGACTGTAGAGACCTTAAGAGTTAGTTAAAAACTTGAGATGAGTACTGGTGTTTCAAGAGAAGGGGTTCGGAAATTAGAAAGAGAGTACTAGCTTTCTGGAACCCAAAAGAGTCACCCAGAACACTGGAACAAAAGCTGTTCAACATAAAGATTTAAGTCACTGTGAAAAGCTTAAGAAACTCTCATTAGCTTGAAACATAGAACTAAAGTCTGTGCATGAACTGGTTTTACGTCAGAAATTTCAACCTCTGGTTTTACCTGACCTTTCTCCTTTATGCTAAATAAAATATTTTGTTATTTTTGATTTTCAAAATGCCTCAAGTGCCATTTAAGTTGTTTAAGTTAAAGTGGGCTCCTGATCCTTCCCTCAGTTTCCTGGGCTAAGCCAACAGCCAAAATATCGTACAGTGACAGGGTGGGACAGCCAGAGTTATTCAGCAAAGAAGAAAACAGAGGGAAAATCTTGCCTCTAAGGGAGGGAAATGGATGGGCCGTCATAGGGTCCCAATCTAGTGTCCCACTAAATCTTCCCCTACCCCTGCCACATGCACTCCTTGCACATGCAAAATTTCCTCCCAGTTAAGGAAGTTTCCCCCCCCATTATTTCCCGAAGGTTTAGCTGTCATTTACTCCCCAGAAATGTGTTCTAGTATCCATACCAACTGTGTCAAACCTAAGGCCCGCAGGCTGGAAGATGCCCACCCATGGCTTTAATCAGGCCCGTGGCTCTTTTCTTCCCCCCTCCCCCTCCTGTCCTCACCTTTCGAAGCTGGAGGCTGCTGAAGTTCCCAGCTCCCTCTGTCTTGTCTTTGCCTGCTTCACAGGAAGCTCTCCTGGGCTTGCAAAGCTACAAAGAAAATACAGAATGGATTTTTCTATTAAGGTCTTTGCACCTAGATAGAGTAACAGCGTTCTGTGCGCCTTGGTGTTTAGTCATGCCGGCCACATGACCACGGAAACGTCTTCGGACAGCGCTGGCTCTTCGGCTTTGAAACGGAGATGAGCACCGCAACCCTAGAGTCAGATTCGACTGGCTTTCGAGCAAGGGAACCTTTACCTTTGCCTTTTTTTACCTAGATAGAGTACTCTGGGATTGTTTCCAGCAATAGAAACAGTACTCTGGGACTAGAATGACAGCCCCCAGAGGAGAATGACAGTCCCTAGCAATAGAATCTATGTTCTGGGACTGGAATGACAGGGCGCAGAGTGGAATGACAGCCCCTGGGAGTAGCAGCAGCATTTTGGGAATGGAATTCCACTCTGGGGGCCCTCATTCCAATCCCAGAGCACTTTTGTTACTCCAAGGGACTGTCATTTCACCCTGGTGGCTGTCATTCCAGTCCCAGAGTAATCTATCTGGGCCCAGAGACCTTAATGGGAAATCCATTCCACATTTTCTTTGCAACTTTGTCTGTGCTGCAATGTATTTCAATGCAGTGGAGCTCAAGAAGTTTCACTTTCTAGTGTTTGTATAGTTGAAGCTGTTGCTTGCTGGAGTTGTCTCCTTGCAAATACAAGGTCGATGTTTTGAGCCAGCTTCCCTCTACTGAAGGGACCTAAGAACAGGTGCCTGAGTGAGTACTCTAACCTGGGAACCCACAGCCAAAGGGGGGCATTACACTTGAGAGCCACTGCCACTCTGAGTAGACCGGGGTGGGGTGGGAGAGAAACTTGCAATGTCCAGCCATTTTATGTACCTAGGCTCAGGGCATTTTATACTTTTAATTTATATTTTTAGTTTCTGCTGTGATCCCTGTGCTTTTTTTGATGTTTTATTTTAAAAATTGCATTGCCAAACCCCACTATCCCCCAACCTTCCCATTTTAGGCAGGCATCTTTTTTTGGTTGGGGGGGGAAGTTTGGGAGGTGTCAGTTATCAAAGACTGTTAAATAAACAAAATATCACAAGTTTTAAGCATATTTGTATTTTACGAAAAAAATATTCAATTGTATCTTTTCTAAAGTTTATATCTCTGCTACCTGGCATAAAATTTATTCAGGGATCATTTCGTAGAAAAAGAGCTAGGGGAACTCATTAGCATAACTCATTAGCATATGCCAGACCCCCTGACATCACCGGAAGTGTGTCATAGCCCACACCCCCCGCTCCCAACGGTCCCAGCTGCCGGCACCGGCCTTGCAACTCCACTGCCGAGCCTCATGAGGGGCCCGGCGCTGGACCTGCAAGGCCGGCGGGA